CCCCCACACACACACACACACACTTTACTGCTATCACTGCTTCCTCTTTTTCTTTTCTGGGAATGCTTTCCAAACGATTTAGGAGTCCATCTGTGGGAATGTGTGGCCATTCGGCCAAAAAACATCAGTGAGGTCAGGTACTGCTGTTGAATGAGAAGACCTGACTTGCAGTCAACGTTCAAGTTCATTCCAAGGGGTTGAATTCACGGCTTGTGTAGGTCCCCTGAGTTCCTCCACACCCAGCTGGTCAAACCATGTCTTCATGGAGCTGGCTTTCCATAGGGGGGCACAGTCAAGCTGGAACAGAAAAGGGCCTTCACCACACTGTTGTCACGAGGCTGGAAGCACATAATTGTCTAAAATGTCCTTGCATGCTGTAACATTAACAGTCCCCTTCACTGGAGGCATCTGAACTCAGTCATATGGAAGGGTCTCCACATCATCTTGGCCACATATTATAAATGTTATATATGAGCTTGGCTGGAACAGTATTGTTTAGCACCTTCACAACAGAACTGCATGAAGAAGATTCAAGCCTTCTCGTCTGTCTAGATCCTAGCTCAGGATCTTTAAAGAGCTATTCCACACCCCAAAAGCAGCATGTAGGGGCTCCGTGAAGGTAGCTGAGAAGGTGTGTAGGAGTTTGACGGGGTCACCCAGCTCATAAAAGGACAGCCGGCCAGCTTCATAATCTAAGTACACCCCTATTTTCTCCGCCATAGCAGACTCGAGATATAAATTGCAGGACTTTTTATTGTGCATCACCGAATAGAGTTTATTGCACCCTCCCAAACACCAAGACTTGGAGTTGTCACCAATATAAGACTGTTCTCCTTTGCGGTCTATACTGGGGTAGCACACCCCAAACCTCCAATTCCCGGTATCGCTGGTCTGCACTTCCCAGTAATGTCGTCCAGCAGAAAAACGAGCTACACTTATAACTTGGCTATACTGAAACCTCTCTGATGCTTTGGGACGGCTTATCCTTCTTTCAGATGATTTTGCCATTTTTAAGTCACTCAATACATCAACATATTCCCCTGCGGTCTTTACGTCCAATAGTACCGCCTCTTGGGTGTAGAGCTCTTTCTTTATATCTGTCATAATATCAGATAATCCTTTGTACAGAGTCACAAAGATCAGTCCTTGATCGAGGTCCCCAGCATTCTGGAGGTTCTCAACGCATCTTGAGATGGTGGTTGTGGTGTCCACATCGGGCAAGTTATATGTAGTACCTTCCTGCAAGATGGTTATTGGGTCAGTAACTTGACAGAGCTCCTCAATGTGACCCATCTTCTTGGACATCTCGTCCCTTGTCACATCCAGCTTCCGGATTAGATCAGAGACTGGCTGAATCGCCTTCTCTTGATGCCTGCAGATTTCCCCTTGCGTTTGCTTCTCCAGAAAGTCCAGTTGCTCCCTGGCGTGGTGGAATAAGGCAGCTAGGTTCTTGGAGAAACCATCCAGTTTTCTTTCCAAGCCACTCTTATATTCTTCGAGGCTCTGTACCTCTCTATCCCTCTTGCCTTTGTTTACGGATAGTTTCTCAAAAGCATTCTGGAGATCTTCCTTGACCTTCTCCGATGCCTCGGGCAAGGTTTGCAGCTGGTGCTTCTGGAGCTCGTGAATTGGCAAACAACCCAGGCATATGCAGAGTGAGTCTTCTGTACAGTAGAACTTGAAGCTCTGGTCGTGGATCGAGCACTTTCTACTCTCCAGAGAGTTGGTGGGGTCAATGAGGATGTGCCCCTCTGATGTGGCGTGGACTTTCAGGTGGTCTTCACATAGGGACGCTTCACAGCGCAGACATGTTTTAGCAGCAGGGACCGGAGGGTCGCAGTAGGTGCAGGCAGTCGCATTAGTTGCCATTGTAATGACTGATACCAGGAATGAGGCAGCAAGGTGAATACTGATCCCCCACACCCAACCAGATAGACCTGTTTTACCACGGTCATCTAAAAAGGTGTGAGAGTGCAATGATTCCAGCTCAAACTTTGCATTGGTTAACCCATTGTCTCTCGTCACTTGAAGTATAAAGCTGTCCTTCTGGCAGATGTAC